CTTTACGCACCCAACTGCCCGGTCGCCGGCAGCACACCGCAGATGCCATGTCGTACCCTGTGTGAAATGGCAAAAGGTGGTTGTTCACAAATAATGGATCAGTATGGATTTGGTTGGCCAGAATCTCTGAAATGTTCCTCCCTCTCAAATGAGAACTGCTTTGACGCTGGTTTTTCAACCGAGATCCAGAATCCTGATGGTAGTTGCGAAGACATCATTCTACCTATGTGCCTAAATATGTCGTACAGTCAAACACGTTTTCCAAATGTACTTGGACACACGTCACAACTTGATGCATTGACGGCCATAATTGACAATGTGATTCTGGTGGGTTGTTCACCTACAATGTTACCATTTCTATGTTCTGTGTATACTCCAATGTGCACAGCAGACGGAAGTGCGAAACCTTGTCGTAGCCTGTGTCAACAAACGATGTACGAATGCCAACAATTGTTAACATTGTTAAACATTAAGTGGCCAGTGGAACTCGAATGTTCCCAGTTCACAGATGAAGATCCGAGCTGCATGACAGACAATGCTACAGGTAAATGGATATTGCACTTGATTTATTTACAGAGGTACCGTACTACTCTCACTTGTTTATGTCATAATTCTGTTGAGAACAATCCATATTAAAATGTAAACAAGATGAGCTCACTAACCTGTAAATGGATATAATGATGCGCGTAGTCACTTTTGTAGATATAACTACTGATTAGTTAGAATATACGGTATACCACTATAAATATATAAACTTGAAGTGGCCAGAAGAACTTGAATGTTCCAATTTTACAGATGACGATCCTAGCTGCAATGTTGATGATATTGATAGTGAAAATGGTGAGGACAAATTTTACATTTGGGAATAAATATTAATATTATTTACAGTATTGTGGATATTTGTTTTCATCTTCATTTTGTAAAATGGGTTGAGCATCCCACTAACACATAACACACCTTCGTTTACCCTTTTCACACCTTTTTTTTTCAGACACGTCTATACTTCGCTGTGAACCGCTCCGAAACCCACACTGTGAAGGATTATCTTATGATAGAACGCAAATTCCGAACATGCTAGGGGACGTAGACCAAGATAGTGCTGTGTTAATGATGACATCTTTTGCCCCTATGATTGCAACTGGATGTTCACCCAAGTTGAAGGCATTGGTGTGTGCGGTAGTGTCTCCGCCATGCTCCAGCGGAGTTCAGGTACAGCCTTGTCGCAGTTTGTGTGAAGCTGTCGAGAGAGATTGTGGTAGTATCTTTCCGAATGGGACGGATGCGGAGCTGGCGTTCCCGTGCTTTTTGTTACCAAACCAGAATTGTTACGATGGTAAAACGACTATTGGAATTTCACCGACTGTTAGCTCGGACGGTAAGCATGTGTTCTGTCTGGGTATGTGCATAGGCCCTATTCGGCTATTTTGTGTATTAAAGAACGACGCCCTTTACTCGGTGTAATGGACCTTATTAACATTAACACATGCACAGTTGATTTCAACTGATCACATTTATAGATGCTGAAACAAAAATTGATGTCATTTTATTTTTTCTTTTTTTTAGAGGTTGAGATGTACACAGATGAAATTGCTATTGTTGGGCATGAAGTTAGCGATATGGTGGCATATGGATCAAATTGTGAAAAAATAAATTCTAGACGCTATGATGTCACTGATCTCGGACTGTCAGAATATTTCCGGGGCTGGGTTGATGTCCAGGGACAGGGTGCAGCTAACGATTACTGCAGGTAAAACTAAAAGATGCTTATCATAATAGTTATACTCCATCTAATTCTCTATTTTATCTCTAAAGCATGGTTTCCTTAAAATTGCTACACTGCCTCTACAGTGTTTTAAATGCAACCGTTGTACTGCGTACCGTAGCAGTCAACGACGCAATTGGGAAGGCTCCCCGATTCATCGACCGACCAACCAGCATCACCGATAGTTGTTGACGATAGCGAATTAACACATGCACAGTTGATTTCAACTGATCACATTTATAGATGCTGAAACAAAAATTGATGTCATTTTATTTTTTCTTTTTTTTAGAGGTTGAGATGTACACAGATGAAATTGCTATTGTTGGGCATGAAGTTAGCGATATGGTGGCATATGGATCAAATTGTGAAAAAATAAATTCTAGACGCTATGATGTCACTGATCTCGGACTGTCAGAATATTTCCGGGGCTGGGTTGATGTCCAGGGACAGGGTGCAGCTAACGATTACTGCAGGTAAAACTAAAAGATGCTTATCATAATAGTTATACTTCATCTAATTCTCTATTTTATCTCTAAAGCATGGTTTCCTTAAAATTGCTACACTGCCTCTACAGTGTTTTAAATGCAACCGTTGTACTGCGTAGCAGTCAACGACGCAATTGGGAAGGCTCCCCGATTCATCGACCGACCAACCAGCATCACCGATAGCTGTTGACGATAGCGATTGTATGGAGTCTCCGACGTAATTGGGAAACCTCCCCGATTCATCGACCGACCAACCAGCATCACCGATACCTGTTGACGATAGCGATTGTATGGAGTCCCCGACGTAATTGGGAAGCCTCCCCGATTCAGATCGACCAACCAGCATCACCGATAGCTGTTGACGATAGCGATTGTATGGAAACCAAGCTTAACCCACCAAACACAAAACGTTATCACATTCGTGAAGCGTTGTGAACATTTTGGTGTGGTTATGACGGAAAATGACGTTAAGACAACGTTAGCAACGCTATTTATTCAGAAAGTATGTTGTAAATATATGCGGTACAAAATAGAACGTTTTGCACATCAAACTCACCAAACTTCAACATTATTTAAACGTCAAACTGTTTACATTTTTACAGAGTTAAGACAATCTAGTGAATAGAATTTGAAAGTTTATTTGAGAAGAAATGTAGTAAAGTTAAGACTTAATATATACTTAAGGAATTTTTGATTTGTGTTCATCATTACAGAGTTGTTAGAGGAGAAAACGGTAATCTGGACCTAACTTGCGCCCTAGCTGGGACTAGTGGCATGAGTGAATTTAACTATAATATCACTTCACTGGATGGGGAAAATTTTATTCCAGGGCGCTACGGGGAATGGTATATCCGGGACGAAAATGGTGACGGTCGAGATGACTACTGCAGGTAAATTGTCCCCATTTTCTTATTAAAACTTCACACACATCAAGTCCGGATTGACTTCATCGTCGTCGGTGGTCACTGTTGACTTGTTCTTCAGAAATGAACCCGGCTAACCAATTTTCTTGCACGCCGGTCTAAAGGGAAAAACGTAACCATACTGGACTGGGATCTAGGGCTTGGTGTGAACGTATGGAGAATAGTGATTTTTTTCTTGTTTGCATTTTGCATCGCAGACAAAAAATTACGAATAGATGAATATGCTTGTACTGTACTTAGGACAAGAAAAACATTTTCCCCTAATTTGTGTCCACTAGCGTAAAGTGCTTGAGCTATAAACATATCGACCAAAATTCCAAATAATCATACACATATTAATTCCTTGCAGATGTGTTTATCGTGACTTCAGCTTGTTCGTCTCCTGTATACCCGCAATGGCTGAAGGATTTGTAGGAAATGAAGAATTCCGTGTCGAAGCTAAAGGATGTGGCGTAGAACAGTTCAATCCATTCATCGGACCACGTCCCTGAGTTGGTAGTTTTAGTGGAATGCTGTGTGTGACAGTCTTTGTTTTCATCATTGGGTTATTATAAGAATACTAAAGATTGCTAAGCAAAGCAGTATTTTGTGTATGTAGTTTCGTCTCCAAAATGTTTGCATGTTGTTCAAGAGTGGCTTGTCGACATTGGCGAAATTCTACATTCCGCAACAACATCATCACAATTTTAGCCATTAGCGGCCCAATACAATACCGTAACAGGGCGACGGTTTCGTATTGTGTCATCTTCTCTCTACTGATGTCTTTTTATGCTGTTTTATTTTACTTGTAATCCCTGGGGAAATGTTCAATGTGTATGATTTTATCTGTCATTTATATAATTTTCATGGCTGGCCAGTGATAAGGAAGATTTACCAAGTATGATTTGTCTCTCTTGAGGCTTCTGTGTTCTACGATAATTTGTTCAATTTTGTTAGTGTTTATGTTTAAAGCTAGTAGTCATGCATTTGAATGGCAATTTAAATGGTGAATTAGTGCAGAGCTTCTAGTTAAATAATCGAATGCATTGGGGATAGCCCTTCTTTTATTTTTATAATAATCTATGGTTGGTAGTTATAGAAAGACCAACCGTTTTTTATTTTCCCGTGTATTGTTCTCTTATTTCGATTCCTGCTAACTGAGAGCTGAAGTGCTGTAAGATAGGCTTCAAGGCTTTAATTAGGCCTACTTAAATTAATAATCATAATTATTGATTGATTGATTGATTAATCGATCGATCGATGGACTGATTGATTTTGATTTATTGATTGATTGATTAGTTAATTGAGTAATTAAAAATAATTTAAATGTAAAGTACGAAATTTGCTACTCATTTTCCTCCATGTCATCATGAATTACGAGAGTTTGATAGCGTATGTTCTATAGGGGGCGCTTTCCAAAGTGTTTAAACTGATTGTAATAATCATAATCTCCGAACCTCCATGCTCCGAAAAACTATAGGCCTGTGTAAAACACCAAGTAATGGTTGATCATGGTTGATCCATAATGTTTTATTTTCTAGGATAGAATGTTTAATCTAGGACTTATTTTGAATAAAGTCGGATAAAACATTGTTCTTTTTAATTGCCATTTTGGTATTTCTTGTGTGTACGGTATTTATTTTGAAACATTATAGAAATAACAATAAATTATTCATTATTTATTGTTATAGAAATAACAATAAATAATGAATAATACAAATAAACGATTACAGTATGTGTTCGTGAATATTTGTAACTTACCTTTTGGTTAAGAATCACTTTATTATCCATAGGCCCGGGTCTGTCTCTTATACACATCTAGATGTGTATAAGAGACAGGTTGACTTGTTCTTCAGAAATGAACCCGGCGCACATATCAATTTGTCTGGTCCACTTAACTGCAAACGCGCCGCCGTGTAAATCACCCTATCCATTAGCGCTTCTTCAAAACTGTACATCGAATGTTTTTACTACAAATACCGTAACTCAAAAACTTAGGTCGGATAAAATAGGTTGAAACGGTTTATAGAAGGTTATAAATATAGTTATTGCAAACAATTTACAAAATAGGGCCTATATATTTTTTTTCAAATATTTCACCCCGCCATTTTTGGGTTGAATTACGAAAATATAGGCGATATTAGTGTGTTTTCAGTGGGATTTGAACTGGCTTATGAGGGGTCGTTTTTTTTACAATGTCATAACTGTGCTTACACTAATCTGATTGCTTAGGTTGAAGCAGCAACAGAAAAAAAAATTCTTGTGATCAGTTAGGCCTACATGTAAAAATTAATATGATTGTATAAAATCTTCTTCCGTAATTTTTCCATTCTTTTAAAGGCTTTTAAAAAGAAAAAAATTATTGTTTTTTTTTTAATTGTCAATAGGCCTACATTTAACTTCCTACCTGCATAACAAACACCAGAGAATCATGTATACACATCTATACAACATTCAGACATATGACGTGGTAAATCATTTATTAAAATTATAAATAGTAATGAACATAAAATACATAAAATATGTAGCAGTAAACTCTTATGCGAAGTATCCGGTCAAAGTCACATATCACCAACTGTTTCGCATCGTGCGGGACGCTCCAGCATTTCAAAGTACGGTAATTTTGGATGAAACACGCATTTTGCAGAAACATGCGTGATCCTAAATTTGTCACGCATTTAACACAAGTCTATGCGTGATAACGAATTAACACGAATTCAGGGGAAACTGTTTCAAATTAGAAGAAATTGGTTTTATTAAAAATATAAAATGTTTGTGATACATAGTTCGGGTACTTAAATTAAACATAGGCCTACATTGAAACTCAAATTGTACGTGGCGTGGCTTTATTAATTTTTTGCTTATGTAACCGTATTATCAACAAACACTCCCTGAAATCGTTTTAAAAACAGCTTAAAAATGCTCAGATCGTCGGAGCGGCGGGGGACGTGGCCCCTGCCGCTTCGACCCCCAGCCAACTGGCACTCACGCATTTCAATCTCTCAGGTTGGTAACTATAAAGTCATAACGTGCTTCCTTACGATATTCCAATAAACTTGTCTCCTATATCAGTTGGCCATTCATAAAGATAGGCCTACTTTAATCACTTTTTTTACTCATAATCATAAAGATTATTTATAGTTTATCTCTTTAATCAAGGACTTTAATCTGTACAGTTAAAATAAAAGTACTTGGTACATACAGTACTGACAGTACACATGACCGATAAGTTACTGTACTTGACGAGGCTGTGACGATTCCTGTGTCGCTTATTGGTTGACTTCGCGAGGACGATGCATGCCGCGCAATAGCCGCAATAGCCGCTCTAGCGTGACGAAATAATAAACAACGGTGATCTTTGGTGAATATAGTGAGAAAAAGATGTCTGTTGTAACGATTTTGAGGTTATTTCGTCCAGCTTCCGTAAGTCGTAACTTAGCTGCAGTTAATTCGGCAAGTATTCTACATAAAAAATACGTTAACAGACAAATTAAAACAGATTTGTATTCATCATATTTCCGTGGATTTTCTGCAAGCCCACGTCTGGGACAACAAACGTTATCTAGGAATCCTCCTAGGCCTATCGGTTCCGCGGTAAGGATTGCTAGCAGTACTTTAACCAAGGATGGCCAGTTCGTTAATGTACAGTGGGATAATAGTGTCGAGGCTACATATCCATATTGTTGGATCAGAGATAATTGTCCATGCAGCGATTGTTTTCACATCAATGAAAATATTTCAGAACGGCTGATTCCAATTAGTCAACAGAATATTGACAACAGGGCATCAGAAATTCATGTTGATGAAGATGGTCAGTTTATTCGTGTAACTGGAACAGATGGTCACCCTAGCACACTCGAAGCCTCTTGGCTTTTTGATCGCCAGCTTTGTAAAAAGGACAGTTGTGCCAGTGATGTGGTTAAACCTATCCTGTGGGATACCGCAGACATTCAAAAAGTATACCCAACATTTCAATATAATGACATAATTAGTGACAACGATGGATTGCGAGCCTGGTTAGATGCACTAAAACGCTACGGAGTTGCCCTGTTGCAAAATTCACCTACTCAAGAAAATGAGCTGCTTAATCTTGGCAAGAGGGTTTCGTTTTTGAGAGAAGCTATGTGGGGGTATGATTTTATTTTTATATGACATAATTTTGTGCTATTTTCGAGCATTTTGGTTTGTTGGAATGTTGTGTGGTTTTATGTTTTAGGCCTATGGGCAGGGGCAGATCTGGGTTAAAATTTAACGCAACGCACATGAGCTTTCCCAACTTTTAGTTTTCCCATTGTAACAAAAACAATTTCAGCTCACAGGTCCTGAAAAGGTAAGTCTAGAATTTTATTTTTTCTTTTTAAATTTTTTTTTTGGCCAAAGAGGGTCAAAGGGGTCATGACCCCTGACCCCTCAGATCTGCTAATAAATGGGTAATAAAGAATAAAACAAAGAATTATATTAATATGAAAGAAAGACCTCCTTCCATTGGCCAACTGGATTGAACTGGAATTTATAAACGCAATCACTGTAACATGCATAATTTATAAAGGAATAACCAAAGTATGATTACTCACTCTACTCTATTTTTGCATTTCAGTATATGCATTGAAATTTTAAAATTTAGTGGCGAAAGGGGGTACCCCCTACTGGATCTGCATCTGCCTTGCATAAAAAAAACCTTAGTGATGATTAAATTCACTATTAACATGCTACAATTCTTTCATTTCATTTCATTTCTTTAGGCACGAGCACTATCCTAGGTTCCATTAAACAAAAGGGGACTGATTGGACCAGTACACCGGGGTAACCCCCTACTCTTCTCGAAGAATGTACTGGGTTCTTTAAAGTGCACACGGGACAAATGCGTACACTGCGCCTACGGTTTAAAGTCCTTGTCCGAGAAGATGTGTTCCACCACCAGAACCATTGGCGAGTGAGCCGTTCGAACCCTTCAGCTCTAACAAAAAAAAAAAAAAAAATAGGGGTTCCCCTGTGATCTCACAAGAGAACTTTCATTGACCATGGAGAGTAAGTTTAGATTATTAACTTTAAACATTTTTTGTTTGCAACAAGCTAGATGTATGAAAGTTCCTTGGGATCAGAACTGAGGCTATACCAGATAGTTTGCTTTGTGGTCTAAAGGTATGACACTCGATTTGTCAGCAAGAGGCTACAGGTTTGAATCCTGCCTGAGACGCTTTTTTCATACATTTGAAAAAGGAACTTTTGGTTGAAGGGCTATGCTTCATATGATAATAATAATAATAATCTTATCCCTATCTGAACACCAGTAATATTTATCTATGTGTTTATTTATTATATTATATTATATATTTACAGCTTGATTTCTTCGATCAAAGCAAAACCAGATTCCTATGTCCTTGCTTACTCAAGCGGAACAATCCTGCTTCATGCAGATATGGCATATATGACTCTTCAGCCAGGGGTAATTTTACTCTTATATTATTAGTATTATTCCTTACAATGTTTTTATTTTTTTGGTTTAACATAATATTCCTTTTCATGAATTTTGAAAAAGAAAAAGAAATCCCAAAGCTAGCCAGGATTGAACTGGTGGCTTCAGCACAAGATACAGACTTTTGAATATTTAAAACAGGGAAAAATGGGGTGTAACCACCCTTTTTTCCACCAGTTTTTTTAAATATTCAAAAATCTGTATTTCAACAACGGCTCCCATGTTTTTTTGTCAAATATGCTTTTTCTGTCTTAGAAAAATCAGTTGTATTGTACAACAGATCAAGAACTCTTTCCTCCGGAGCATGGCTTCAAAATCTACTTCTGTCACAAATAACATATTGTAGCACAGTCTTGTCCTTTGCTCATATGCATTGGCATAATGGAAGGTATTTATGTTTAGGAATTTAGCGTCAACATCATTAAAGTGTCATCATTCTTTCTGGCAATATTATTATTATAATGTTATTTTATCTTACTGGACGAGAAAGGACATGCCATTTGTGTGCTGATAAATAGTGAGAGTAAAGTTCAAAAGTAAAATTGTTAACATGATCCAATTGAGCTCAAATTTACCAGGAATGACCTGCCTGGGTTCATGTTCTATTGAACTTAGTATCTAGTTGTAAACTTTGTATTTCAGGTGCTTTTGTTGCATTGTTTATCAAACCCCGCTGGCACTGGTGGTGAAAATATGCTTGTAGATGGCTTCAATGCAGCTAGAATCTTAAAAGAGACAGATGCGGAGGCCTACAGGATCCTGACGACAGTTAAAGTGGAGCATGGCATTACTGGCATAGAACACGGCTCATACTTTCATTATCATCTTAGCAAGCCAACAATAAGGTACACCTGTCAGGGGCAGATCTAGAGATGTCCGAAAGTGAGGTGGATCGAGATAACACCACCCCAGGGGTTCGGGCATTCCTAGGGGGTTGGGCATTCCTAGGGGGTCGGGCATGCCCCCGCAAAATTTTTGTTTTCCAGATGCCCGAAAATAACTTCCGAGGCATTTCGGGCGATCTATTTTTTCTTTCTCTTTCTTTTTTATTTTTTTTTATTTTCCAAAAGTGGGGGGAGGAGGCCGCGGCCGGCCTGTCCCCCCCTCTAAATCCATCCCATAGTACTAGAAATTTGCAGATGAATTAATTTCAGAGATTTTTGTTTTGTCGCGGAATTGCATGAGGACGTCCAGATTTTCATGAGACTCCTGCAACTTGCAGGAGATTTGAAACCCCTGTTGCTGCCCAAACACAGCAATTGACATTTGGAAATTGGGCCATTTACAATATTTTTTACCATAAGTCTGGGATTGTAGGGATCATTTCCAACCATTGCTCTCCCCATGTACTGTATTTTGATTGGTAAAATTATATAGTAATATTTATTGGCGGTGCTGCCTAGAATATGGAAAAACTATAACAAGGGACTGGTGGCAAGTCTAATCATAACCATATATAGGCACATCATGATTATATATGGGCATACAACAGCTTTTTGTCACATAAAATTGTGGACAGATCTCTATAGCTTGAGAAATTATGCTACACTTTCAAACATGATAAAATTTATCCAATATATTTTAAAATAATTAACCAATATATTGATGTTAATATATTGGATATATCGATACAAAACCAGATGAAAATATTCAATCATGATACAATTTGTTCCTGTTCTGTATTGTATGTTCAGCTTGGATGATGATGGTAACCCAGTATGTATAAGCTACCATGAGCATCTACGAACCAGTAAAGTCAGTGCGTCTACTGTGGAGGAAGTTGCAGAGTTCTACCGAGCTCTGAAAAAATTCTCTGATATTCTATATGACCCTGTCAACATGTACAAACGCAGACTTCTTGAAGGTATGTTTGAGATATGATATGCCAATATATGGGCATGATGATGACATAATATCCCAAATATGGACATAAAATTTGCTAGTGTGGACATAGCTTTAGGGAACAATTATTTAGACCAAACTTCTGAGGAGGCTGATTGGGGGGAAAAGGGGAAGTGGGTGCTTGATGATCAAGTGAGGGGGACACTATCTCGAAAAAATAAGGTGGGAAGAGATGATTTTTAACTGCTTCAGCATAATTTTTTTGCTTCAAACATTTCCCTTGGAGAGGGCCGAATGGTGGGGCGATTTTTTTTGGGATGTGCTCCCCCTCTGCACCCACCCCATTATGCCATTTCCTTTAATATTTAATTATTGTAAATGGACTATTTGTTCTTCGCACACCAATACTGTTGTATGTAAACTGCTTGTATTTTGTTATTATTTTAGGTGAAATTTTGGCTGTCAGCAACATTCGTCTTCTTCATGGACGTGAAAGTTTCACATTTACAGAAGACAAGGCACGACACATCGAGTCGGCCTACTTAGATTGGAATGAAATTGATTCTAGACTACGTGTTCTTAAAAAGGGACTAATTTAATAGTACAGTATGTCATTAAATATTAATGCAGTAGTTTGATTTTATATGGCAAGATTTTTTATTTCTAGTTTCGCAAACCAAAATTGATTGAAGGTTACGTGTTTTTAGGAAGGGAAAGTAATCAGATGGTACTACAGTACTTGGATAATATATCATTAAAATTTAATAGTTGATTTTAAATTATTAATGATATTGATTATAAGGCCAGATATATTTAATACTGTACCTTGTTGTTTTTGTTTTGTTTCTTGTCATCAATTAAAAATGGAATGGAATTATATTTATATTTTATTACTGTATATTGTAGTGCACCACGAGAAAATAGAAATTTCAGGAAAAATGTTTAAATTTATTTTTATTTCTCCCTCTGCCGCTTTTACATCACATTCTTCATGACTATGTAATAGGATTTTGAGCAATGGCATCAGTCACAGGTGCCCACTATTACTTCTTACTTTAGACACTTGCAGTTTTTTTATTCACCAATATACCATGGAAATAATATGCATTATATATTTTTCTGAAATAGACATGAACTTATTTCTTATGGATGATAAATTTATTTCTGATTGATTGATGATATTTTCAAAATGTATAGAACTTTATTTTGTATAATTTTGACTTAATGTCATGTTTGCTTGTTTCTGACCAGTAGTATATAAACCGGTAGTAGCATAAGCATTACTATATCATGATGACCTGTGACACGTTCAAACATGTCGATTAAAAGCTTATATATAATTTGTGATTTGAAAATCTGTATATAACAATTAAAAACATTGATTAGCTAATATCATGTGAACATATTGGATATTAATCTTCCCATGAAACCATCATCCTCATTTTCAATTGAAATCTAATCATTTAGGCTACTTAAACTATAGTATTTCTTTAATCTTCTAAAATAACTTTGCAATAAAAATAATATACAAGAAAATACAAAAATAAAACCAACCTATGAAATGAATGAAAGTTCAACATGTCTTTGTTTTTATTCAGTTTTGTAATGTTTAAAATATACCAGAGATACTTTACAGAAGATATAACTGATACTATGAGAACACATCAGTGGATTGGAAAGTTCTGTGATATTTGGTATAACAGAAGGACAAGAGTAATTCTTGTATTTTATTACATTTTTTCCAGAGCCGAAGCGGTTGGCGCATCGGTTGTGGCTTGGACTCCCAACCTCGAGGTCAGGGGTTTGAAACTCTCGCTGTGCAAGTCGCTTGTGTCCCCAGGAGTATAAATGGGTACTTGGTAGGATGTTGTAACATTGAATGCACTAGTTTTTTGCGCTGAGCAAGGAGCGTATGAGAAGGTTGCACTTTGTGTGCTGGTTTGCCATTGTAAGTTATCCAATGACCAAGGGTAATAACACTCAGCGCCTTTGATCATATATTTTGGAATTGGCACTATGTAAATATTCAAGTATTATTATAAAGCTAATATCTGACCTTATTTTTTAAGCCTGAAGAATGCTGTGGCATCCATCCTGGTTGTGGCCGAATGATACTATTATAAGTACATGTTAGTAGTAATTAAGGTACCTGTACTAGGTAAGGTGAAGGCTATTCGATGGGAAGAAACTCTATTTTCATACCATAATCATAATTTGTTTTTAGTAGCAAGCGAGCAAGAGGCAAATTAGAAATCTTGATTTCTGAATAGGTCATAATAAAAGGAAGATACATGCTATCTGGCAAATCCATTCTTATTTTAAATTTCTCTACAAATTTATAAACTGTGGAAAAGATTCATTGTATTAACAGAAGTATTACCAAGGGTAATAAATTATAGAGTCAGTCTTGTTATTCAAGAGTCGGGGGATTTAGTAATTATGGACCAAACCAACCTCAGTCCCCATAGTTGTTACCTCTAAGGAAACAGTTCATTTAGACTTACAAAAATGGTATGTGTATTAAGAATATAATTTGACAATAGTATGTCCAATTTTAAATACTTTTAACATTCTGTGCAAATTTAGGCTAGCATTTCTCTAGAAATGGATTACGGTATTATCACACTTAAAATACCAGACTTATGCTACATTGGACTCACTGAGCAGACTTTAATGATTCATTTATATACAAAATAAATAATTTTAGAAAAAGGTAATATAGTTTTCTAATATTTCAACAAATATCAATTTTGATAAGATAAATATCTTATCACAATAATAACCAGATGGGTGCGTGACCTATAAAACTTCCACCTAGTGGCCTGGACCCTCCTGTCGGCAAATTTCTGTGGCACCACCACTGCTTCTACCACTGCTGAAAGTCTTGTCATAATATGAGTATAATAAAGTTGTGTAAATATAACAGTACTTAATATTGTTCCCTATAAACTACAGGTATAAAAATCAAATACAATAAAACAAATAAGAATGCTTTTCGACAAGCATATCTAGAGAAAGGAGGTGGGTTTATTCTGCAGTCTACTTGCTTTCATCACATATTCTTTTCTGGTGCTTGTTTGTGCGCCAGGTATAAAAACACAATACTAGAGAGGGCGCTAACTAAAAATATAACATCAAACCACCGGTGATAGAAGTTGAATTGAAGGTCGCCTAGAACCTCTGTAATGATAACCCTGTATTGTGGTGGCATGTTCATCCGCATTAAGAGAACAGATGAAACAAAGTACATACCCTTCAAAGAAAAGAAAGAAGAAACAATATAAATGATAAATAATATTTAAATCAAATAAATACAGTAAATGTAGTATCTCATGTTAATTAAGAGTGGTGAATGTTCAGGCTACTGTAACAGTAGTTATCACTTAGCTGTAGAGATGACATGAACATAGGAAACTTGTTCAATTGGAGGGGAGGGTATTTATAGGATAAAACAAAGCAAATAACAAGAGAGACTTACCATGATCTGTGCTAAGCATAGGACAATCACATTGGAAGATTTGCTACTGGAAATGGCATAGAAAAACTACAAGAAAAATAATGTATAATTAGTGGCATAGTGTAAGGATGAAATTGTGCTCTCCATAGTGAAAAATTAGCAGTACTACTTAAATTTTACATTAAAAGGTCTCAAATCAGAAGCAAATCCAGAATTGTTCAAATGGGGGGGGGGGCACAACAGTGTCAGAAAAGGTGAGTAGCACATAACATTGATTTGCATTGAAATTTGTAAAATTTAGTAGCAAAACGGGAAAACGTGCCTCCGTTCCCCCTACTGGATCCGCCCCTGCAAATTGTTGTCAATAGAAACCCTGGGAATTACAACTATCATTATAATATTTAATTAATTTGTCTTGGTATTATGTATTGACTATAAAATATGAATTTAATTACCTTAGTTAATTTGATTAAAAGTCCACGTATTGAAGTCACAATAATTATACCAACTAAAATGAAAGACACTTGCTGAGACCAAAATGCTACCTGTAACAAACAACAGAAAAATGAATACAAATATTATTAAGAGAGATTCATATTTGTATGTACTGATGAATAAATCACAAAATTATAAAAGCGATCTTCATTGAGCATTAAGGCTCCAAATAACTGGGAGTATTCTCGTAGTTTGTTTACTTATCAACAACAAAGAAGTAACCAGATATTAGCACACTTCAAAGGACTAAGAAAGAAGTCATAGCTTATTTTATATCAACAACCTTGATGATGTTCCAAAAATAGAAACTACAGAATCGACCAATGGCTTCTCTTGTTTTGGAATGTCCTTGATTTTGTATCGTTTATCTATAATTACCAATTATTTGAATCAATCAAGTTTCCTTAGTTCCATAAAAATAACAAGAATTAATCACAAATTACTCACTAAAAATAATGTTAGACAAATCATGAAGACTTTACCTTTTCTTTTTTGTCAGGATCATGTCAACGACCTGAAGGAGTTTTCTTTCATGTGCCTGTATATCTGAAGATGTCACATGACTACAAATGATACAATTTTATAAAAAATATATGAGAAATCAAGTGACATCATCAACTTAACACAAAGAAGGGGAAAAAAGTGAGGCAATCAAATCTGAAATGAACAATTATTGCAATGTTATTTTCTAAGTCAATGGTAACTGTTTTAAATATATAAGTTAGGAAATAAAGTTATCAATTATAGCATAGAAAAATACCTACCGTATGAAGTAAGCTAAATATGTGTATGGACAATTAACTGCTCCAAATCCAGACAACAGCGCCATCAATGTTACACCAATAACACCAACACGGCTTATCACTTGTTCAATTGACAAAATTCCTATTGGAAAAAAATACACAATGAATACAAATTTATTATCTTTATGTATTCTTTGATCAAACAATTTCATTGTTTTCCTTGCCTCATTTTTCCTTATTTCATCTATACATTTTCCTATGTTTCCTTTAAAAGATTTTTGCATTCAGTAGACATAGCACACAATATGAAGACATGACAAAAACTTACCATGGTGCCTGCTCAAAATGGGAAATGGATCCCCAAGCTTCCAGAAAAAGTATATATACACAAGCCAAGCTGATACTGTCAGCATTAAGGTGGTCGTGTATCGCCTTTGAACTGAAAACCAAATAAAATTACATTAACAGGGATTCAAGTAAGATGTGGCTAGGGGGTCATTTGTGCTTATTTTTAAAATTTAAGCTTAAGTCCCATAATGTGGTGTAGAAGCTCTAAGGTCATGGGGAATATCCTTTTTAAATTTTGAGCCAAAAAACCTGGTATCAAAAAGGTAAGCTTCTTAACCACCAAGTAACAAGCCCAAGATATTGACACTTGGTTAAATAAGGAAAAGTACATATTGTGTGATTAATTGTTCACACTCAATGTTGGACTAAATGAAAGAAAATGGTATACATTAGATATACACAACTCATGCTTAACTTGGAAACAGTACAGAAGTATTAGACACCCAAGCCCAATCAAGCAAAAAATCCCAAAAAGTGCTACTTTCTTTGCTTAGATATATAATTGTTTAGATGAAAGTTTAATTTTACTTACCAAATCTCACATTACTGACAATGTAGTATGCAATATAAAAAGGCTGAACAACTATCAGAGTGAATAAGATAGCATATAGATCCAACTTCCAGTGGAAAAGTCTAGAACTATTAAAAACAAAACATTAAAGTGTTTACACTACTTTTTTCATTCTTCAATAATTTTAGTTACTTGTAATTTTTTTGGAAACTCCAGCATGTACATTATCATCATTGTTATAATCATAATTGTTACTATCACCATTATCATCATCATCAACATCTCCGTAATCACCATCGTCACCGTCAACATCATCATTATAATATCATAATCATCATCATCAAGATATTTATCTTCATACTACCATTATTATGCTTTTGCCGATTGGATTTAAAGTTGAGGGAGTAAAGTTGAGAGAGTCAAGTCAAATTTGTTTTATTGTTTGATTTATTTCATTTGTTATAAAAACATTGGAATTATATGTGAATGTGCTCTCTTATAACCAGAAAAGACAAAAATCATAAATTATAAATGAAATAATTAAATGAGTAATGCTCATAATATAGTACAGTACCTTGCATTTAAAAAGCCAATGATTTCAAAAATGATAAGTTCAAACATTGTACATGAAAGGGCAAAGGTCACAGAGAAAATCAGCTGAACAAGATTGTGATGAACCTGAAAAATAAAAACATAGCTGACGTGTACAATTTAAGACATTTCCACAATTTGCGAACTGTGCAGGCTCTTCTTTGCACAGTTTGCAAACTGTGCAAGAAAATCTTGCACAATTTGAAAACTGTGCAAGGATTTCTTTGCACAATATGAAAACTGCGCAAGATTCTGCACAGTTTGCAAGCTGGACAAGGAGATTATTGCACAGTTTTAAAATGTGTGGACAACTTGCAAACAGTTTAGGGGTAGCAAGTTGTAGAATACTTTGTTTGATTTGGCCAAAAAATAAACATGTTTCTTTGTAAAGATGGAATATCAAACTTTCCTGAATGGAAGGAATTTTGGTGATCAGATTCTAAAGGCTAGGGCTATGTTTTACCTCATAATTTCTGAAAAGCTCACGCATGAAGAAAACCCAACCACCAAGGAAGAAAAGGATCTGAAATGAAAATACAAAGATGGTTATATGTACGATTTTCACCTCCTCCTTGTCAGTAGATATTTAACCAGTAGCACACGTATTGGGTTTAACATCACTTTCCCAATGCACTTCAATGCTAACATTAAGGATAAAAAGTAATTCATTGATTCTCAAATTCACAAGCAAATAGAGAATTGGTGGGTAAAATATACATCTTGTATTGTAATTAACTATAAAAGACAAAAATAAAAGTAGTATTGCAATTGAAAAACAAAAAATTTTCACATAGAGAATAATAACATTATTCCTTATTTTAAGGCTGTGGCTATGCTGATCGATCGAAATGCCAATGAGCTGATTGGTTGACTTGGCTTTACCTAATCTTAAAAATAAATCTTACTATCTTAATTAATGCACTACATCTCGGCGTAAGCATAGCCACTTTGTTATTAGAAGTGGAGTGGAGTTGTTGTATAACTTAGGCCTAAACTTGTGGTCAAGATGCTTGCCTTCTATCTACATAAAATACCCATCATGGACATTGGTCCTCCTGAGTCCTGGTTAAATTCCTGTGTGTGTGACTGACAGACAGACAATTTTTCTCGACTACTACTAGACTAAGACTAAGGCCTAAATTAAAAACAACTCCATTCTCCTCTCTCAGTCTCAGACTTGGTTTTTATTAAATTATAAGCATCGTCCATCCTGTAACTGGCAAGATACTCGATGATGGATGCGAATGAAATAACCTCCAGGCCCTAGGCCTAGTCATTGCATGTTGCATAATTAAGGAAGAGTGACGATAAATGATGCCCTGGCACTGCTTCCTCCCTGCCTGGCTTGATGTGGCCCGGCCGCCAGGCCCAGCCTAACTTAAACCTAGCCTAGCTTAGGCTACCTAGCTAGGCCCTAGGCCTACCGACCAATCTATAATAGACCCCTCTAGGATAAAAAAAAAAATACATACCTGGGTCGTAAACATTACAAAAGAGTCTAAAACAAATGCCATGTTTAGGCAATATCGGGTGTGTTTACATACAGAATATTGTATGTTAATTATGCTCCACATCAACAGAGCCGGTCACACAGGAGGCAGCCATTATTCTATCCGAGAACAGTTTACAAAAGTTATTATGATTGGGCGATACCTAATATCTTAACAAGAACTCGCTATTATTGTCCAATCACATTTGATGTACTGCCAAATTCGGAACTTCCGTGAAGTTCTGGCGAATCGTCAAGAATCGAGAGAGGATTCCGCGATCGAGGCGGCGAAAGGAGGGCTTTAAACAGTCACATGCCTGAAGTGGACTGGTCAATTTTTAAAGGTAAAATGACGGTAGAGCATACCATTTTCCAACAACAGAAGAATTTAGCTCAGGTAAGAATCTATTGATTTATGATTTTACTTATTTTGACAATTAACTATTGAGGAGACCTTATGTTTTTGCGTATATTTGCTAGGCCTAGGCTAGCCCTTGCCTTACTACTAGTGTACTACTGACTGTTTTATGTATGCTCTGCCCGCTGCACATTAAGGTCAGCAAGCCCGGCGCGATCGTATGTTGTCGACTGGCTGTGTTAATACAAATGTACAGTAAATAGGTAAATACAGGCGTTGTTGAAATTTAAGACTCAATTTATTTTTAAAATATATATAGTGAGTTTGTTAGGCTGAAGTAGGCTTTTAGGCCTAGGCCTAGGCCCTAGCCTAAAATAAATCTAAATTAAGTAACATTCCAATAATATTTCTTGCCTAGGGCCAGGCATAGCCTAGGTAGCCTAACTAGGCCTAGGCTACCCTTTTTATTATAGGCATTTTTTAATTTATTATCTAGGCCAGGCCCGGGCCATAGCCTAACTAATAGGCCTACTGTAGGATCGAGTATGTTTGTTTGCAAAAATCAAGAATGCATTATTGTCATCGATCAAAAAAAAAAGTAAACAATGAAATTTTTTGACCAGTTGCTGAAAACACTAAAAACAACATCATCATAATATGGTTTAAACACAAGAACTTAAAAATGTGCTGCGTTACAAGTAGTGCTAGGCCTAGGTAGGTGAATCAGTGAGTTTTACTTTAGTGGTAACAAGAGGAATATTTAGATGGTTATGTGAATGAACATTAATGAAGTTTTTCTGTTACGGGACTTGATCGTATTGGGGTATTGTTGAAAGAAAATAAATCCAATAATACCAATCATATAGGTTGACCACCACCCATGCAATGAGAGCAGCTAGGTCAGTCAGCTGAACTGGTGTATGCTACTGTGTGTGCGCTGAACCGCGGTGATCTCTTGGTCTCCGGTTCAATTTCCATCGCTGCTCTCCTTGTGTTTCAGCTGGAGGGTTGAAATGCAAATGTCAAAAGCACACCATCTTTCAGATGAGACGTTAAACTTAAAGCCATTGGTCCTGATTGCAAAATGGCCCATGTGCATGTTAAAGAACATAGTTTACTCTTTGGAAAAGAGTATGGGATTGTCTCCCAGTGCCCAATCACCACCAGAAGGACCCCACTAGAAATAAGTCTTTTTCAGACTTTTGTGGGCTCCTTGGTGTTCACACCAAATAAATCCACATACAACCTTAATTGAATATTTTATGTTTCCAGATTTTATTACAGATAATCTACAGTAGACTTTAGATTTAGAAAGCATACCCATTTATTATTAGGTCAAAAAATGGAATTCCCAACCAAACAAAAATCTCTAACCACTAAAAAAAACAAAAAAAAACACATTTATTCAATACTATTACTGTACTATATTCCAATTAATTATAGTTAGTATTAGATGTCAATGTCAATATTAACTTCATTAATTGTACTGCTGTATAGAGTACTGGTAGCTAGATTCAGGGCTGTAAATTTAACCAATTACTCAAATATCTTCTAATCCACTAATTATAAATTTGTAAATTGCTTTTTGAGTTGATCCCTTGAATTTGATATGATGATACATGTTGATATTTTGCTTATAAAAGTAGGTCAGAGGTTATGTCTGGTCATGGTCTAGCCAGGTGTAAGTAAAATGCTTTTCAGATGGTGGGTTTCGAGTCAAAGGTCAATAGCAGATGCACCTCCAAATTAGGCAGAAATTCTCAACATACCTCACCAAATGAGAGCGGCCAGCATTTCCTAAACTATAGCCAATCACGTAATCCTCCTGGTCACAGTGAACCTAATGATTGGTTTGATAGGCTATCTCCAACGATTAACACTGAAATGATGGGTTGACAGCCAGTCCTTTTTCTCTGTGCAACTTGGAAACATTTATGGTGGATTTTTTAGGCATGCTTTGCAACAGTGTCCAGAGTTCTTTCTTGTAATCTTTGATAAATAAAATGTCAGTATTGCTAAGCAACAAGTCTTCTCTCAGTCAGGCTAATCCTGAGGAGGATTTTATTGTCAAGTCTTATAAGCCGCAGGCCTGCCGAATATATGCAAGATTAAGTGAAAAGGAGGTTAGTTTAAAACATACTCTCTGTGTAGAGAGATACAGTACACTTTGAACAATTCAATATTTGTATTGCATATTTTATTTAAGAATGTTACTGTATTACGTACTGTAGCTTCCGATTAGAATCAGAGCAAGGACCAGTGTAGACAATTTTCTCATATGTCCTTAAGAAACCAGTACAACTGTCGAGACAAGTAGGGCAGAGAGGTATAAAAATAACCTCCTTGAGTAGGTGGTTACGCTGGTGTACTCTTCCATCACCCCCCCCCCCCAAAAAAAAATCTTTGCTTTGCAAATTGCATACACTTTTTTATAAAAATAAGAACCAGTACAATATTGCCCAGGCTCAAAGTTCTTATTTTGTTCTTATTTTACACACTTTTCAAAGATAACACATTATTATTGTACAGCAGTACAGTATTATTACTGATACAATATCTGTCTCTTATACACATCTAGATGTGTATAAGAGACAGGGCATAGCCTAGGTAGCCTAACTAGGCCTAGGCTACCCTTTTTATTATAGGCATTTTTTAATTTATTATCTAGGCCAGGCCCGGGCCATAGCCTAACTAATAGGCCTACTGTAGGATCGAGAGCTATTCAACTCCTCTCCAAATTAAAAACCTCATCATTTTATTTTTACCTCAGTCTCAATAGCAATTTCAGCCTCAGTCTTCTTACAAAAAAAGTATTATCATATTCTCAATGAATTGAAATATTTGAATCTTTATTTTTTACTGTACAGTAGTGTAATACTGTAAATTACCATTCCTTTCCTTAATGTAACATATTTATTACATAGAAAATTCTAGAATTGTGTTTATTTGACCAAACAAAGAGTGTAAACCTCATTGGTAATTATAGGAACATAAGAGACCATGTGGAAGGTTCTAGATGTTGAAGTACTACTACTAGAAGCAATTGCCTATTGGATAATTATGATGTAATGTGACCAATGAAGAACTTAAGCAATATTTACTCTTGAATGCTCTGGAGTTCTAGGGCTAATGTATCAAAGGTGAGAGCTTGGTCTTTCCGGGGAGCTCCATTTGAAACACATGTGAATGTTGTTGTGTTATTTTGATACCGGATTCTTGTTTGAGTTTATACAAAATAAAAGTTTATTTGAAAGTTATGTTACAACATCATGAGCTGCGTTTGTATTTTATACGTCAAAGAGGAATTCCTAGTCATTCCTTTACCACTCGGAAGTACGTCAAGTAGGAATTCATGACAAGTAGATACTACAATGGGAAGCCTTGAAAAGTTATTTTTAATATTGCCTTTAAAAAAACAGTTAATATTACAGTATTCCACAATTCCCACAATTTTTAATACTGTGCTACAGTAGCTATTCTTACTCCTCTCTACAACTTCAGATGAACTGCAGGAATATGGAGTTAAATTAATTGGCCAATCGGCCAACGTAAATTCACTTTATTTGCATGAATTTTTAATACTAACAAAAACAAAGGAATAACAATCTGTCTTCTGATATTCTGTTTGTATTGTACTGTAATTAGTAACAAATTACATTCATATTGTTTAGTTTACCATCAGACGATAATAATATGCTTAAATGTCCACCAACTCAACCTTGAAGTTTTCTACCCAAAAACAACAGTAATATTATTTATTCTTTATTCTTTCAAAATTTACAAATAGTGGCAAGGTGCCAAATTGAATGTAAAGTAACAAATGAGGGACATTAAAAACAGCTAAATAAAAATGGTATAAAAAGAGAATGCAAAAAATACATTAAAATACTTAACTACAAAATGAAGAATCTCAGTCTGTTCACTTTATTTGCATGAATTTTTAACACTACTGTATACAAAAAGAAAGGAATAACAAACTCTCTTCTGTTATTCTGTTTGTACTGTATGGGTAGTTAGTAAAAAAAAAATTACAGTCACTTTGTTTCTTTACCATCAGAAGACGCTACGTATATATTATGCCTAAATGCCCACCTTCAGGGATGTAGTTATGGTGGGCGGGCCACCAAGCCTTGAGGTTTTCCACCCAGTGTAAAGCTTATTTCATGGCCCTCCACACATCTATATTAATCCCCGTACCCATCCTTAAATGCCTTATTTTTATTGTTCATTATTACTGTGTGTACAATTTTTTATATTTTTAAATATGCAATGAATTGTTTCCGCTCTGCTTTTCCTTTTTAAAATTGGACAATAAAAACTAAATGAAATGAAATGAAAAATGAAAAAATCCAGTCTTATTAGTTAGAGTTCACCAATGAAGTATGTATTCAAGTGTGATGACATAAAATGTTTATGTTCATGAAACATTCTCTATTTTGTCAATTTAATCACTTTGAATGCCATGTAACAGCACTATCTAAATAAACTGATGCAGCGTATGTATACAACTCAAATGTACAGTATCTAGCTGACTAACGCATCCAGAATGTCTCAAATGGCAACCATTTATGGTGCTGTAGCAATCAAGTTGTGAGTTTTACTATCATGCCTGATTTATGAAATTAGTCAGCTAGATGCAGTACAGTCTATCCAGTAGATGATAGATATTGTACTGTTAATTTATTTGAAATTAGGAATATTCAAGCTGACTTTTGCAAGCAGCTCAGTTGGTTGAGCACTTACACATTGTACCGGAAGTGTTGGGTTCAATTCCTAAAACAGTCAATACTCAGTTATAATTCACACTTTATCAGCCTCTTCCCTAATTGCTGGATTAAACCAGGGAGTTGTTATGCCTGATTAAACCATGGAGGTAGATTAAACTAATATTCACTAAAGCCTAGATGACTCATAACACCTGTTTACCTAATTATTATCGCTTTGCACAGAATCAAGAGATTGCCATAAATCAGCTGAAGGAGGTAACTGGAGTAAAAGATGAGGGAACTGTAAAGCAAGCGTATGAAGCCAGTGGGGGAGATGTCAACCAGGCCATAGCAATTCTCACAGAGGCTGATAAAGTTGAAACACCAGCCGCTAACGTTGCGACCAACACAGCCTTCATTGGACCAAGGAATATCAATGATAAATCTAGTAAGTCTACTTTACCTGTTCAAGAGGATGTATTCCAATTAAGTATCAGCCACTTATTTATAGGCTATGTAAATGAAAGTGAAAGTTGAAGAAGGTCATCAATTCTTTTTAACATTTTCAAGAGAGTAGAAAACATTAAGAGCATATGAAAGTTAAACATACAAGTCAATGTACATATTATTCTGTTGGTACTGTATTAAGTTGTAAACTGTATTTGACTGGAAAAATATGTCAAAATTTTGTGTGTTTGTGGTTTAATTCATTTGTACTATAACAGATTGAAGATTAAGTACTACGTTAATTAATTATCCCTAATCATATGTGACCAGCTCTGGCAATTTCCCCCGTTTGTTGCAATTTCTAATTTGCACATGCACCCAATACGTTCGAGAATCAAAATTTTGAAAAATCTCATGTTTTTGTGTTTTATAAAAGATAAATTGAAGAACATTTCTATAAAATATAAATCACTAAATGTAACTGAAAAGTACATTGAAATTATTTTTAAAATATAAGTCATAATAATTAACTGTTGATTTTGGAATCTTTGGAAGCTGTATCTTCAAAACCTACATGGCTAATATCCAATGAAATAATAAAATATTCATAACTTCGTTAATACTCAACCAGTTTCCATCAAATAAACCCTATTTTAAAGAAGACTTCATGCAGAATTTAAAAACACCAAAAACTCACTTTTTAATTTTTTCTACAAACGGAGGGTGTTGCCGGAGCCAGTCACATATTATGCTCTCAGCAATTATTATTTTAAAATTTATTGTTGTTATTTATTATTGTTATTACAGAAATATGTAAAATTTCGCCTCTTAATTTTTTCATCTTATAGACAAAAAAAAAACAACAACTAAAGTTTGATTTAATTACTGTCTATTTACACATGTACATTAATGTACTAATGTCCACCAATACAATAAGTAATATAACTATGAATCAAGTGATTATTACAGATTTTACCAGATGTGATTTTTCAATGATTATTTTTGTCAGCTGGTGTGATTGACTTAACAAATGAGAAAGAAAATCAGAATGACCTTCAGAGGGCGATTGCTCTCAGCCTACAGGACTCTGGTACCCGCCCACCAACAGCACTTCAGGGCATGTCCACAGAGGACCAGGATCTAAGCAGGTAAAGTGGCCTTTGTTAAGGAGAATTTATTATTTCATGAATTATTAACTCTTAATTTTAATTTTTTTTAAATGAACCTACATCCAACTCACCACTCGGGATGACACTGTTGCTACTGGGGGAGGAAGTGGTCTCTCTCTAAATGTATATTAAGTCTGTTAGAAATGTTGTATTAATAAAAATCAATCTTTTTTTTGCCATAAAGGGCACTAGAAGAAAGCCTTGCAGAATCGGTACGGACAGGAAGTAAAAGGCGTCGTGGAGATGGAAGCTGGTTTCTAGATCCACTTAATCCATATGATAGACGACGAGAAAATGGCTGGCCAGTCGGTCTGAAGAATGTGGGCAATACGTGTTGGTTTAGTGCTGTAATACAGGTACATTGTTAATGAATAAATTCATTTAGTGCTTTTTGCCAAATGATACACATATTACACTAAATATATATATGACTTCTATGCTTGTGGATAATCAAAATGTTCCTGTGGTTTTTTATTTTTTATATATATTTTTCTATTATTCTACTTATTTTATCAATAAAGTTTTTAATAATGGAGCTTTATACAATTTACTTTAGGCACAATAAACCATATTTTATTATTACACTTTCCTTTTCATCTTCTCTGTTAGTCATTATTCCATCTACCTGTGTTTAGAAGACTTGTTCTTGGCTTTGTTCCACCGGCCAATGCAACGAAAATGTCAGCAGAACATAGTGCTGTAAGTTTACTGTAGTTATCAATCAGTAACTCAATCCATCAGTCAAAAAAATTAATTAATGAACAAGTCAATTAATCAATAAATTGAACATTCTCTCCATCAAGACTGATGAATACAAATAACTAAACACTTCCTTGCCATTGTTCTATTATTCCAATTCTGTAGAACATAGTGCTGTAAGTTTACTGTAGTTATAAATCAGTAACTCAATCCATCAGTCAAAAAAATTAATTAATTAACAAGTCAATTAATCAATAAATTGAACAATCTCTCCATCAAGGTGGACTGATGAAGACAAATAACTAAACACTTCCTTGCCATTGTTCTATTATTCCAATTCTGTAGAACATAGTGCTGTAAGTTTAAGTTAAATTATTGTTATTATAATGTGGAATTAAACTATAGCTATGTGGATAAGATGTTTAAGCTTCATATATTCATGTGATTGGTGAGTGTACGAGCTGATAAGAAAGAATTAAAAATCAGTAACAAAATAAATAACAATTTTATTCATCATGTGCTTGGTTTATAGGAGCAACGCAATTTGGCATTTATGGCAGAGCTGAGGGCGCTCTTTGCATTGATGATTGGGACAAACAGGAAGTATGTTGACCCTACAAAATCTGTCCAGATCTTGAAGGCAGCTTTCAACAACGATGGCGACAGTCAACAGGTAAAAAAGAAACGTGTTTCAAAGAGAGCATTTCAACTAAGTTGGTTAAACTTGTAGGCACTGATTGTACTAAACCATGGAGAGCTTAGGCCCAATTTGAATTTCATCACTAATCTTATGTTTCAGCTGAAGGGCTGAAATGGAAAGTTACAATAATGAGACATTTAAACCATTAGTTCTGTGTGCAATATATGGCCATGCTACCATTTTATTTTTATTAACCCATTAAATGAATCCAGGAATGTCTTAAAAAATACTAAAGTTCCATTTTAAAATTTATTTTAAATTGAAAATTTTATTTTGAAATCTTTTTTTACTTTGGCAATGCCTATTACTATTGTTTTTTTTTAAATAGGATGTGAGTGAATTTACCCATAAACTTCTAGAATGGTTGGAGGAAACGTTTAAATCTGACTGCTCTAGACCACCGACACCAAAAGAAGGGTAAACACTGTCAATATGGCTTTATCTTTCTTATTCCACATCATACTTTACCATAGATATGTGAAATATATGTCATTCAACTAATATAAAATCTGTAATCACATTTGTTGTGAGTGCTTTCCATGTTGGAAAATTTACTTTAGCATCTAGAATCCGTGCTTGGTATTGGATGCTAACAGGTACTCACTTACAATCCAGGGTAGAGAGAGGCTATTTTATTTGGAAGAACTCAAGCAAAACACACAGTGAAAAATTTGAAATCCTGACCTAAAAAATAAAAGCTTGCACTGTAACCGCTGCAAAGTTGCTCTCCATACTTATTCACGCCTACTACCAAAATAGTATCTTCATACTTTGTGTCCTGTTTTCCTTTTGTTCTATATTTTTTAATTTTGATGATAATTGGTTTCATTTGATATTTCAGTGAAGAGAGTCAATGGACGAACCCAATGCTTCATCTGTTTTATGGACAATTTATGTCTCTTGGTGTAAATGAAGGTAAGACAGTTAATTTTATATAGATATAGATTATAATTATTGTTACTTTTGTTGTTGTCATAAATGCTGTTATTGTTGTTTATTTTTATTAAGAATTGTTTCAGATTCAGTCAGCAATATTGACATTTAATGTTCTGCAAGTTGTAATTTTTTTTTCCTGATTTTTACAGGAAAGGTTTTCAAAAATAAAGAAACCTTTGGTCAGTATCCCCTCCATGTGAAGGACTTTGTAGAACTTCATGATAGCATTGAAGCTTCAACTGCCCACGGGGAAATAGAGAACGTTAACAGTGATACTTCAGCCAAATCAGGACAGGAGGTAAAACAATAGGCAGTGATTAGTTCATGACTCAAATAAAGCCATTCCGCCATAAACACTTGGCTAATTTTGGTACTATAATTTATTTTTGGTTTATTCTTTCTGCCCAGTACAAATACAAGGAGGAGGTAATTAAGAATGTATATAAGTAATGGCAAATTTGATTACAAGAAATTAAAATACATTGTAGTAAAACAGCCCTTTCTCCTCAAGCCCCACAAAAGTGGTCTAGCGCAGCAGGAACTGTCATGGTTTCCACCCTTGAGGTCAGGGTTTCAATCCCTCACTGTGTGCTTTGCTTGTGTCCTTGAGCATGGCACTTTATCTACATTGCTTCTCTCAACCCACAAGTATAAATGGGGATGGGGTTGCCTGCTCCGACACTGATTACAGCAGCAACACTTAAGCATGTATGCCCAATGACCTTTGAAAAAAAGTGCTTTCTATCTTAAAAGAATTGCCATATATAAGAAAGTATATTACATACTCCAAGTATTAAAATGCATGCCATCGTGTTTCAATACTTGGAGTATGTATTATTTTTTCTTATCTGAGATTAATCAGTGGACCTTTTGGTTTTTGCCCTATATAAGTAAAGTAAATTAAAATAATATAAATAAATATTTTGGCTGTCATGAATTCAGCGACATAAATTACGAGTGATACCTTTTTTTTTAACCTGATGATAAATAATATCATAAAAAATATGTTGAATGTTTTGTTTCTCAATCATTTCTACAGCACTGGTTCACAAGACTCCCTCAGGTGTTGACATTTGAACTTTCACGGTTTCATTTCAATCAACAACTTGGTAAAGCTGAAAAGATTCATAATCGATGTAATTTTGCAAGGACCCTTTACATGGACAGGTAATATTAACAAATGTTTTTGTCAACTTGTAAGAAGGTAATGGTGGTTGACCCAAAACAAGTTAATTCCAGAGAGTCTGTAGTAAAAGAGTATTTGAAACAATTATCAGCAATTGTTATAAAGTTATTTTCTGGTGTCAAATTTTGTTTTAAATGTTAGATTGATTTCGCTGCTATGTCTAAGTGCATTTTTGGCTTTGATTTCTTACTTGCAGATACATGGCGTGTAATATAGAGAAAACTAAAAAGAAGCGTGAAGATGTTCGTAAAATGAAGCAACAAGTGGCAGAGCTTCAAAGCCATTTAGAAAGGTAAGTTCATGGTCAAAAATAAACAATAAGGATTTTTTAAACAAATCTGGTATTATGTAATATTTATGCATTTATTTGATTGATTTATGTCACTATGATCAAAATTTATTGATTGTGTTTCTTTTTGTGAATTTTCCTTGACTCACTCTCACAGGTATATGAATTACGGTTCAGGTGCCAAGCGATTTCCATTGCAGGATGTATTACAATATGCTTTGGAGTTTGCAAATAGTAAGCCAATACCGCCATGGTTTAATGGTGATGGCGACTCACCACGCAAGCAAGGGGTCCGTACAACTCGTCATAACTCAGCGAATCAAGGGACCAAGAGAAACTGTGTCGACTACCCTCCAGATATCGAAATGGCTGGAAATGCTCTAGATTTAGAGAAGATTAGCAAAGAAGAGACAGTCACCACTCAACCGTCTTTTAATCAAGTTGAAAGTTCCTTAAATAATGGTGGGAAGAATGTGTCCAACTGCTGCCCCCAAGATGTAGAAATGCTTTCACCAGATACATCTCGGGAAAGGTTAGTCATTACTCCGCCTAAGTGTTGATTAGTAAAGCCCAAATGTTTGAAGTGTTAGCATTTAAAATTTATTCCACAGTACTATTGTTTTTCATTTTATTTTATAATCATAGTTGTTGTTTTATTTCATGAAAAATTGCCTTGATGAACTGAGTAATTACCTTGTTCTCATAATCGAGAACACCCATGATATCATGTTCATTTAAACACTTTTTGTGTGGTTTTTTTAGCACACCAACAAAGCCAACAGGGGATAATGCAATAAAAATGAAACAAGACACTACCCTAATGGAAGTAGAACAACCTAACACAGTATCACCTGTTCCTAAACATGTTACGGAGGATGAGTTGAACACACTTCAGAGTTGTCTATGCCGGTGGAGGAGGGAGGTGATGACGGATGTTGAAGGTAATCTTTTCTATACACTCTCACCCATACCCCCGGTAGGCTATACGTCTATCCAGGGTACATGATCTTGACATAGATAATCATCAGTTCGAAGATTTCCCTGTAAACATTAAAAAAACAATAGATATATATTTTTTTCTCCAGACAAAAACTGTTGGACTTTGTACTATTTATCTATACCTATTCTACATTTTCATTCTTAATCTTGCAGCAGACTTCTTAATTTCATTGTTATAACATACATTTGTTATAACATACATTTGTTATAACATACATTTGTTATAACATACATTTGTTATAACATACATTTTCATAGAATTTCATATTTTAATTTTATTCAACTTTCTATTCTAGTTATTAAACTGTATTTCAATAGAAAAATATTTTTTGTTTTGTTAATTCTTATTTTCAGAGTTACAAAAGTGTATCAACACATTAAAGGATGACATAGAATCTATTTATGATGATGATGATATGAAACAGGTAGGATAGTTGTTTATGGGTCAGCAAGATCTGATTCTTTTATTTTGTAATTGGTATCAGACTTTAACAGTTAGTAAATCCCACTGAAAATCTCATTATGATGCTTATTGAGTGGAGATGTCACAAGATTTGAACCCACGACCCTGGGATTTTATGACAAGCTCCTTAACCACTGAGCTAAATCTGCCCTATTGCTTACAGATATTTGCAGTATGCAATACCATTATTGTTATTATTATTATTAGTTGTTTCTGATATAGATTGTTTCTGATATAGATGGTTTATATTGTTTTTTGGTGTACATCAATTTTTTTTCTTCAAATGATACACACTCATGATAGTTTAGAATCACTATTTGTGTTATTAAGTATTCAATAAACCACTTCGTAGTTTAAACTGTACATGCCCGTATTGAAGGTCAGTTGACATAAACATTTAACATCATAGGCTTCCAAGGTGGCATGGCATTTTTAGGGAGCTAGTACGTAACAGTTCTCCATCTCTATGATAAATATTGTCCATATGATGCAAGTATTCTTCAAACATGTATCACAGCACAGTTCACTATTTTCAAGCAATTCTGAAGGCCATGCCACCTGCAAGGCCTAGCTAGGCTTAACTAGGCCTAACCTATGTTGTGTGTGTTGAATATTTGTTTTGGTTGATTGACTTTCAATACGGGCATGTACAATTCAAACTACGAAGTGCCTTATCTTATGATGCTTACAAAAATGGAAAATCATTGGTAGTGTAAGGCTGTTTAAAGGCATTATACTTGCAATTTTTAAATGCGAGTCTGTTTTCTTATCCCATTTACAGTATAAATACAGTCTACACGCAGTGCTGGTACACGAAGGTCAGGCAAGTTCAGGGCACTACTGGGCATACGTGCTCAATCATGCACGAAACGTTTGGCTTAAGTTTAATGATGTGTCCGTCACCGAGGTTACGTGGGAGGAACTTCAGCAGGAATCTGTCGGTGGGGACAGCAACACCAGTGCTTATTGCTTGATATATGTAGATGACAGCAAACATGAATTATTTGAAGGTTTGTAAACATGCAATAGGACTCACTTTTTTATATTGGTTTTTTAGTTGTGTTTTTTGTCAAAAATTTATATATAATCTGAATGTTCCAAGTAAATTAAATAACCAAAACTCCTAAACTTATCCTCCTCATGGATTTTACATTAGAGCTTTCATCCCTACCAACTATCTGATTTAATCAGGATTTTACTGTTATTTCATTTTTAAAATATCAAAGTATTAGGACATCTTGATTTCCTGATTTTTTGAATTGTCCTGTCTGTACATTATTTCCCAGTTTTCATCTCATTTCCATTTTTATTCATTGTCTTTACTCGCGTATTTCTGGAAATAAATAATTATAATTGTATAATTACAGATGAAGCTTTAGTTTTCTAAATTGTTTCAATTATTTTGTATTTGACATAATTGTAGAAACAAATGATGAAATGAATAGAGGCCTTAACTCCCTTAGCGAAGACCTTCAAGAACTCGTGCTTCAAGACAACAAAGAATTTGAACGTGAAATGGAGTCTTGGGACCAAAAAAATCTAAAAAATCATAAAGAAGCATCAACAGAAACTAGTGAAGATGATATTGTTATTAAGGATAAAATGCAAACTGGAGGTAGGATAACAGATTAACAACAATTGATAAGCTTAAGATACAGAATGTTATGTATAGAATTGATGAAGCTTGCATGATCAGGCCAAAGATAACTTTGTGTTGCTCAAGCTCTAAGCCTAACTCACTTTTATACTCACAGCTACTCAATCTGGAATTTAGCCCTGGTTTACAAAATAATCAAAATAATTTACAGTCACCGTGAGAGTCATAGTTGGCAATGAACCATAGTGTAAACCTATATTAATAAATAAAATTCCAACCTATTTACTGTTTTTCAAATGTCTCTGTGCTTGGGTTAAAAAAAACCCCATTTTTTAGGTAGCCTACTCCCCATTTATATCTGTAAAATTAATTCTTTTGAATACAGGTGACTTAACTATACCACATCCAACCCCAGCCTCTCCTGCCCCCACCTTTACTACAGAACACTCAAAGATGCAGCTATCAGCCAGTAAGGAGGTCATCACAAGAATGACAGAAACATTTAACAAAGAAGGCCCTCAGGCTGCTCTTAAACAGGTAATCATACACATTACATTACAGACACACAGATATTCCGACTAATATGTAGCCTTCTTACCTAGCTGTTGGAATTTTTACATCAGTGGTAGTGCTAACAGGAACATGATTTTTTGGGGAACCCTTGTCAAAGAAATTTAAAACCCATGTGAACCCCTCGGTCGTGACTATCTCTCAACAGGGGGTTCAAAAAATCTGAAAGGTGTCCAAACCAAGAAGCTGGAAATATAATAATTAAGAAAGAATTTTTGATAATAATGACTCTAGGATGATAAAAACAGATGATGACATTTCACTGATGAGGATATGACTGATTAAAGATGATAAGAATAATAACAATATTAAAAATATAAATGATGTTGATAACAATGAAATTAACATATAAGGATTTATAGTAACAATATAAACGAAAAGAAATAATAATGGCAATAACAGTAACTGTTTAGTTGTATTCATAAGTATTTATTTTAATTTTTTCTTATGTTTTTTTGTAGTCCTGCGAAGATGAGTTAATAAGACTGAAGAAATTAGCAAGCCAGCCTGATGACAACATTAAAGATGTTAGATTAGAGAGTGCTGTCGTCTACTTCCTCAAGAATTCTGCACCAGATTTTGTTATCCAACGAGCTTTATTGGAGCAATTCGCAGATAAGCAACTCAATTTTGATAACCGGTATGCGAAATAGATATGATATGCGTTATTTATACTGATTTGACAAGCAGAGTTTTCCTTTCAGGATTAATAAAATTTATTATCTAAAGCTCCGTTCATACTATGAAATCACTGTGATATGCCCATATTTGGCACATCTCATAAATTTGTCACACAAAATTTGATATAGTGTGGACAGAGTTTAAAGATTTGTATTTATCAAATTAAGATAAAATTTATACACTTGTCAAAAATTGACTCAGAAATGGACAGGATGCCTTCATATATAACCATCCTGTCATTAGAACTACTAGATATTTTGATATGCTAGCATTTTTTATTTAATCAATTTGTATAAGAATCATAAAGAATCATGATTTTTGTTTCAGGTCTAAAGCCGTTCGCAAACTAGCTCAACGATCCTTAGATTGCCAGACGCTGTCGAAGGAAGAGGATGAAGTCTACAAGAAGTGGCATTTGGATTATAAAACATTCCGAAAGGCAGTTTTATATTTAATGGCAGGCTGCCAGAAATACTGTAAGGAAAGGTGAGAGGTCATGCTTTGTTTGGCTCTGTTGAGTTATTTGTGTTTTCTAATGTTCCCTATTAGCATGAGTGTAGTTGGTTTTCCATTTTGCCTTATTAAGGGAGGTTTCCAATGTGCCATATTGGCATGCTATTCTAGAGCTGCCAAATATGTTGTTTTGGCATGAAATGAGGGTTGTATGAGATGAGGGCACTTTTCATTGAATTACTGTTCATTTTTGTGAATGAGGAAAGGAAAGAACCCAAAACACCTCTATGTGTTGGAAACTTGGAAATACTGTGATTTTTTTTCCTGATTGGTGATTTTTATTTTGTTGCAGTTATCAAGAGGCTTTACCATATTTTGTATATGCATTCAAGACAAATGATGTATTTGACGGAGAGTTTAAAATGAAACGCCTGGACCCTAGTATGCTGGCCTTATTCAGGAGACAGTGTTTATTGGTAAGGGAAAGTCCATAGCGAGCATAACTGTTTGGCTTCATGGTAACATAAAGGGTCTTGTGGTAAATAGTGACAGGGAACTACACTTTCTGAAACCCTAACTGTGCAAGCCTTCTTGGGCAAGACACCTCATCTGTGTTTGTCATTTTCCACCAAATGCAAGTACCTAGTAGGATCTAATACCAAGTGTTAATTATTTTCTTGTATGACAGTATATAAATGAGCAATGCAGTCAAATGTTTGAGTCTGGAGAGGAAGTTGAGGCGATGAATGGATTACAAGTGGTGATTGACCTCATTGTCCCAGGTGTGGTCATCTTGAATGAGTCACAGCTACCAGAAGACACTCACGCAGAGGAAGACATCAGAGAACGATGGTGTAACCACCTAGCACAAGAATTGAGTGGTAAGAATTAGGATTTGTTATTATTATTACAATACAAATGATAAAACATTTAGTGGTCATTGAACAATTTAGTTCAAAACAATTTTTAAAAATATCTGCAATGTACTTATTTGTTTCCTTTTAGACCGTCTGAGGGAAAAACTGACAGACATTTTAGGAAGACTAGTTGATGTTTTAGGGGCAAACTCAACAATAAAAGCGCCCCCTCTCACAGAGAACGATGCCAATGAGAACTTACTTGAACAATTTACAAATATTCAGCAGCAAATTCTAGCAATCAAAAAGGATTCAGATTCATAGCGAAAGAAACATTCCACAAGGATGTCAATGCAATGAATAAACAGTGTTGTAATATAGTATGAGTTGAGATGGAGGGGGAGGAGGGGGTGGTGGTTAGTTGGTTGTGCGTCAGAATCACCGAATGCCTCAGAGTGCATGAGTACAGGTTATAACTTAACGACAGTTGACTGTCATGGAGGTGAATCAACTAGTGAGTGTGTGAATAAACAGTGTTGTTTTATAGTATGAGTTGAGAGGGAGGGAGGGGGTGGTGCTTAGTTGGTTGTGCTTCAGTAACACCGAGTACCACAGAGTGCATGAGGGCAGTGGTGTTTCAGTGGTCAGTTCCTTGTTTTAACCTAGTGACAGTTGACTGTTGTAAGGTGAATCAAGGTGCAAGTGTGTGAGACATTGAAGACAGTTGTGTATTTGGGTACCTGACTTAGGTGCATCCAGCTGGTGCTTTGGTAACACTTAAGATAGTGGTATGGTTAAGTGGTGATGTGTTTCACTTATATACCAAATATTAGTATGCATTGGTTCCAATGATGATACGGCCTACCCAGAATATTGTTAGGTATGCAAGAATATTGTATCACCAATTAAGGTCAGGGGTCAGGTTTATCAAAGTTGCTTATGCCCTGTACAGACTACTAAATTGTATTATGTGACATGCCTAAATATGGTCATGATAACATCACATCATGACCATATATAGGCACTTCATGACTATATATGGGCGTACAACAGTTTTTAGTGTGATAGTGTGTGACAGAGCTTTAAGTTGATAATCATTCTTAGCCAAAAATAATTGGCTTGATATCCGTCTAAATATTAAAATGAGAAAATTCCTTGCTTAAGCTGATAAAATTAGCTTTATTATTGTTGGGTTTTTATTAGCAAGTGTGTTAGAAACACATCAAGAAAAGATTACTTGAGCAGTTCTTGCAATAAGCTTTAGATTTTGACTAGTGTGAACACAGTATATTTAATTCAATCCATTACCTTAAAGGTAAATATGAGAGGTATTGCTTCTGATAAATTTATTTCAATTCTAGAAAATCTTAATCGCAATAAATTAAGTAATGGGGAAGATATAGAGTATTCTTACTATATCATCCTCATTATTAAAAAAAAAATGAAGGAAGTGTGTGCAAAACTATCAGGGAGCTACCTAGATAGTGCAACTCATTTGGAAGTACATGCATAATATCTTTTTGTTTTAGGGCTAAAGTTTTTTCTTTGATGCCTATAAATATAGCTTTTAGTCTTGTGTAAAAAAAAGCAAGATGAATTCTACACTCAGACTATGCTAAGAAGGTTTGATAAAAGCAAGCTGAATTCTACACTCAGACTATGCTAAGAAGGTTTGATGAATATGGTAGCTTTCCTAGGCCCACCATGACTACTTGATGATGTTTTGTAAACTGAGTTTGATAAATCCCAGCTCAGGTCTTCTATGAGCAACTTTCACAGTCCAATAACGTACAGTAGAACAAACATGCATTTTGTATTCCATGTGAACTCGATACGATTTTAAAAATATTTAATTAAAATCTCCCTTAACAAGGGTGAAACTAAGTCATTGTGCACGATGCTTTATGTTGCTTACCATGGAAAATCTTCATAGTAACGAGCTTGAACAAATTGTTAATCTTATTGCTGATAACGCACAATCTTAAGACTTCATAATATTGTAATTTGTATTCAAAACATTGTTAATAGATTTTTTCCCTATCATTGTTTACTAGGTGCCTTGTGCAATATGACCATTAATTACATAACATTACCCTTTGTGGGTTCAAGGTTGGGAGGGTTACAATGTTATACCTCTGTGTCATAGTTTCTAGTTCTATTACTGAAATATATTTGAAACTTCAGTCTTGCCCTTGTGTCACACAGTTTAAAAATTTTGAATTTTCAACTGGATTATGGTTTCAAATAAAGAATTCAAAATATTTATTTCATACAGATACAGTTTATTTTTAACTGTCAGATTACACATTTACATGTAAAGGCCAACTCAGACAGCGTCGTACGACGCAGCCCGACGCCACAACAAAACATAATTTGCATGTGCAGACCCTACTTCTACGGCCTTTTGGAGGATATTAAAGTACAGTACTGTAATAACAATATTAAAGTTGAATGAAATTTCATTATTTACATAGGCCTAACAATTTACTATAAGTTAAATTCAACTAATTTTGTAAATTGGCTACACACAATCATGATTAGCCATGTTTTAATTTACGAGTCAAGCAACAAATCGATGAAACACATGCCAATTTATCTCTCGAACACTTGTATTAATCACAAACTCGAACAGACAAAACACGATTTGCAAGCCAGAGGGCTGTCGAGGACATGGTTTTGTTATAGTGTATAACAGAACATATCTAGATAAATCATTAACATCTTACATATTAAAAGGATAGTATAGGTATTGCTTTTTAGCATCAAATTAAAGGTATGTATTTATACTATGCAAAAGTATATTACATTGTCCATTAATAATATTCATTATTTATACATTATACCTGTGAGACAAAAAAAAGTGGGTAGTCTTGTGGTTCTGTTTCCAATCGAAGCTTTGTGTTAACAGATTGAAGATTGTTAGTAAGTTGTCTTGTAAACAGGTTTAGAGGGATCGCAGAATAGAAGAGGGTACACCGCATAAACGACATTTCAAGCCCAGAATGTTCAAAAAGTACTTCGATCTAAATAATAATAAAAATTGGAAGAAAATGTGATTTTTATGAATTGAGATGATAGATAATAAATGATGAGAATGAAAAGAATGAAAAATAAAATATAGGCCTATATGAATTCAGATGATAATATGATATTATGTGAAAATGAAAAAAAAAACGATGAAAATAAGATTTGAAGATAAAGCTACCCATACAAGAAGAGAGAGATTACACTACACAAGATTTTTTCTCAATGATATGTTTAATTTAATTGACATATTTAAGAAAAATTACTTTATTGAAATACAGTTGAATGCCAATGTTACTTTTTAATTATATTAGGCTTAGCCTAATGTGATCATGTATTATAAATAGAAAGTGAAAATGGGAAAAATGTTATTTATATGAATTAAAATTATATATGATAATATGAAAATTAAAAAAAGAAAAAAAAAACATGATGAAATTAAAAATTTGAAATAAAGGTGGAGCAAAAGAGACAGGGTGGCGCCAGGATTTGCCCGAAAAATGTAGAAAATACATATAATTTGCTTTTCTCCCCGACGAATTGTGCTTTTTCTCCTCGACGGGGGGTGGGGGGGAAGCGCTCCCCGCTGGCTCCATCCCCTGAAAACAGAAAAAGAGATACAGTTTGAAGCTGCTGTGATCTACAAATACCATTAGGCCAACCTCTACGCACAACAATACATTTGTATTAAAACAAAAAATGATTTGTCAAAAATTAGTAACTTGGACAATACCAAAATGGAGTACTACTAAACTGTCAAGGTGTGCTAAAAGAATAACTAATTTTTACTTTTCTTGGTGTACATTAGGTTTTTAAGAAAACATATCTTGTATAAAAAAATCATTCTATATATTTATTTGTGGAATTATGAATTCAAGAAAAGGTTGCCCCTCATGTATAACATTTAAACTACATTATAATTGTTGGAGTAGGTAACGGCCCGGTAGTAAAAGGCCGGATGGTAAAATGCTGGGTGGAAATGCGCCAGAACCCATCTATCACTATTGCTGTTCCCTTGACATCACTTGCTAAGAAAAAGCAAGCTTAAGTGTAGGCCTAGAGTTGTCAATGTACATAGGTTATCCACGAATAGTAAACATCATTTCCATGTCCAAGAGTTGAGTACTGGTTTTCATACGCTTGATGCTCACAGATTTTAGACCCGAAGTTGTATTGAAATGAGTAACACTGAGAACTATGTCTACATGTGAGAGCGCATTCGATGATTGATTTTGTTTGGTACCGGACTCCAGTGGGCTCAGATTCGAAGGTTTCGTGCTTTTTGGCAGTCTGGAACAAACTTTGACACTTTGACACGTCTAAAAGTAAAACAGAAATAAACAATTTGAGTATCATTCAAAAATGGATGCTCTCATCAGAATTTGGGGATATTGGGTTAAAACTAAGAGCAGGCACAGCTGGAGCAGAACCAGTACAGGTAAGAGGGCTACATAAGTAAGTAATTAAGCAAGCAAGCAAATTAAATTATTAATCATTATAGACCTACATTAATATCGAAAATTTGCGTCACACGTAGGGCAGTGGTGAGTCTTTGTGTCATGGGAAAAGACGGTATATTTGAAAGTTCAGACTCGCCATTGCACCAAAAGATTCCATAAATTATTTTAAAAAATTTATACGCAAATTATTAACAAAACATTATATGGTATTACAGAATTTATTTGTACTATATTGCAAAGACAATATTTCTAGTGACAATTCGTTGCCTACAAACCTTTGTTCTGAACTTCTTTCATCTCAAATTCATCCAAGACACGGTCATAGACCTGTAACCAACTGACATTGGCATGAACGCCATCGAAGTTTGCTGCATTATTTCCAAATTCAAACTGATCGAAACTGAAGCCAAAATTATAGAAGTTAGTCGTAGACATACTTGCAATTTCACCGTCCCTCCAGAGAGAAAGTGTTTGGATCGATACGTCGAAAGTGACCGCTAGGAATGTCCAAGTCTCAGGCAACAGAATATTGGCGCTCGTGATCACAGAGCCCGCATATGAAACGGATACTTCAGAATTAGACAAGCCAACTTCAGACTTCATCTGGATAATTTCGAATTTGGCAGACGTGTCACCAAGTACTATGATTGGACCGTTTGAGTCAGGGTAAGGATAAATGTCAAATGCGATGGTCATTGAATGTTCGAATGTAAGCTGCCCGTTGATTGGTATTTTGGGCATTATCATTTCTTGGACCCTGATGTACATCTCTTCAGTATATACTCTGTTTATTTTGCTTACGATTCCAGAGGTTAGTTGTAGGTGTTTTGAGGAGTAACACAGATTTGCTGAAACCTGTCTATCTTCTTAGAATATGAAATAAAAACAAAAATTAAATATTATGTAAGACGAAAAGTTATATTATGTTGTGGTATAAATGTAAGACGAAAAGTTATATTATGTTGTGGTATAAACGTGAGACTTTAAGGTAATTAAGTCAATTTAAATCACATAGTGGAGCACGTTTCATTATTTGCCTGGGTTTCAGGTCTTAATTTTGGGTTACTCACTCTTTATTGCGCTTAATGCGCGCCATACCTAATTTAATTGGCGTCCCATACTTGATTTCTTTTATTGGTTTCGTCTCTAAATTAACTTGCTCGTTAGTTGCGCTGTCCAGAATGACACAGAAAATAATAGTAATAATAAGGAACTACCCTTGTGGGAAGTCTAGCTTCATTATGTGTGAGCCCTTAAGTTGTAAGGGAGAGAAACAGTGGTCTTAGAAACGTACCGTAATGATATCGTACTGGCCTCTGTGGATCTTAATTTTCTAACACTGAGATAGCAAAAGTGACCTCTTTTTTCCATACATCTATAATAAGGAACATCATGTTCCTACTTGAGCACAGTATTATAATTTATTTGATTTATACATTATTTGTGTTCCCAGTGCTTAACGTTGATGGACTATGTCTGATACGATTTATAACATCATGTTCTTAAATATTTCAGCACTGTCTTACCTATTTGCATCTATTTGATGTATACATTTTGTGTGTCCCCAGTATTAAGCCTGTCTCTTATACACATCTNGGCCCACGTCGGGGAGCTGTCTCTTATACACATCTAGATGTGTATAAGAGACGTGTGTGTGTGTGTGTGTGTTTGTGTGTGTGTGTGTGAAGAAGGCGTGTCCACGTGTGTTTCGAAACATATGTAGAATATAACGTAGCGTAACAGTAATGAAACTGAAATACATAAGATGTTGACTTCAGAAACACTAAAATTTATTTGGCGAATATTTCGGCTACTCTTGTAGTCTTTGTCAACGCTTGACAGAAAATGAACATATTGAGAAAGTTCCTTGGTAATATAGAATTTAAGAAACAACGCAGTAATTAAGTCAAATTGGAAAAGCTAAACATAAGCAGGCCCGTAGCCAGGGGGGGTTTTTATGGTTCGGGCGAACCCCCCTTTTCTAGCGAACCCCCCTGTTTTCTAGCGAACCCCCTCGAATTTTTGAATGAGTCCCACCCGTTTTTAAATTGTAGCCTGCATTACAAGCCTACATTCATAGAATATCTCAGCTTCAGAAGTTCGGAGATTTAAATTAAAACGCAATTCCTGCAAACCATGACTTTACGATGGCACACATAAGGATGGCAAACATCGATAAAAACCCGGCTGCCGTCTCAACTTTCACTGGCCTTTGGCTGAATGTTTGTAAGAAATGTACCAACCGGTAACGAAACCG